CGAAAAATTTGTCAACCTTTCTGAATTTTTTTCTCGAAAATGCGCAGGATTTCGGGGGTATGTTTCTTCACTAGAAACGATTGTAATTGACCGTTGCAAACGAAAATAATTTTTTCGGAATGATTAGAATCTTTTCATTTTCGCCGAAAAATTTAGGCACTTTCTGAATTTTTTTCTCGAAAATGCGTGGAAATTCGGGGATATCTGTAATGACCAAAAATGATTGCAATCGACCCCTGCAAACGTAAATAATTTTTTCAGAACGATATGAAACTTTTCATTTTCGTCGAAAAATTTAGGCACTTTTCTGAATTTTTTTCTCGAAAACGCGTAGAATTTCGGGGGTATGTGTAATGAGTTAAAATGATTGTAATCGACCCCTGCAATCGAAAATAATTTTTCCAGAACGATTTGAAAAATTTTTTTTCGCCCAAAAATTTCAGCACCTACTCGAATTTTTATCTCGAAAGTAGGTAGGAATTCGAGGGTATGTGTGTTCACAAAAAATGATTGTAATCGACCCCCGCAACCAAAAATAATTTTTTCAGAATGATTTGAAAGTTTTTAATAACTTTTTAACGAAGCCTCCAAACATCTTCAAACACCCTGTATATTTTAATCTCTCCCAAGATAAAACATGTCTCTATTGACATTAGATACACGTTTAGTTCTTGTCAAGATACTTATTAGTTGTCGTTCTCATTACGTGTCCCCTGTATTAACAAAAATATCAAATAAGCATAAGAAAATAAGGAACACAATTTGTATACGAGGTCCGTGAAGTTATTAAATCTGAAATCTGCAAGCAATAATGTACGGAACACGTCTCTCTAATAAATCCTTAAACTGAAACTAAGACAAATAAATGGTCCTGGCGGGGAAGAAAGTAACGAACAATGTGCAATAAATCCACGGCGTCGCTGGACGTAAATTACCCGTTTATTAATGGTTGGAAACTTTGCAGGGGAACGTGGAGGAAAACGACCGAACGGCGGCTCGCCGAAAGAAGAGGAAAAGGTGGACGAAAGATAATCGATAAGGAAGCATCCAGGATGTTTTTCACGTTCGAGGTGCCAGCGGGCGAACTTGGCGCGGTGGACCGTTTTCACGGAAAACAAGAATATCTGGCGGTGGCGGAATGGTCGGCCAAGATTATGTAATAAAGAAGCAAGGTGGCCGTCAAGGAACGTGTCGAAATTGCGGGACGCCGCGTTAAACGCACCAGTGGTGCTCCATCGTCGAGGACATTGACATTGCGAACGTGCCCTTGGGCGGTGCCCAAATAAGGAAGCGTTCTTTGTCTCGAAGATACGCGCGACAGATGCTCGATTTTTTTGTCACCGGCGACAGAAACGCCCACGTTTCTATGCAGTCGCGTTCGTCTGGGAAACTGGACGACAAATATTTGCACACGCTGGCCCCGGTGCCAGTCACGCGATAAAATCGCTGGTCTTGAAGCAGTTAAACCGTTCATTTAATACGTTTATTGTGGTATTTAAAGCGGCGTTTCCGAGATCCATCCGCGATCCAAGGCGATAATTTTCTCGCCGCGAACTCCTCCCTGGCAGAATAGACCGAGTAAATACTTTGAGTTGTTGATCTAATAATCCACGCAAAAGGATCAGAGCGTCTTTATAAATTCAAATAACGTTAGCCGACTTTTGGACACTCGGGTGTTCTAAATATAGGTACCACGATGGTATTATTAGTAATACAAAATAATACATCGATACGATATTGTAATGATATAGTCATACGATCGATCACAATAATCGATAAAATCATTCGAGGAGGCTGCAAGTCTGTTAAATATTTTCAGTCGCAAACAGTTAATATTTACACAAAAAATAAACCTTTTACGTTCGTAGACGAGACTCGATTTAAGAAACAGATTTTCGACGTATCTCGTTAAACCGGAGAGTCAGAAAGTGTATGAAACGGATCCGTGGATAAAAATAACAAACAAGCGGGGAAAAGTAATTTCTTCCGTCCATTGGCGTAACGTCTCGTGTTGGCTCGCGCCAGCCAACGTGAAGCGTTACGTAATCCGAGACACCGGCGATTGTCCGTTACCGAGAAATGGAATCTTTTTAAGTATTTTTTACGATACCACGTGGGAAGAGTTTCGATTACGCTTTTGGGGGCTAAATTTTAATTGCAAACTTCCCCTTTCACGATTGTCGTCGACAATTCTCCTCCTCCTCCTCGAACACAATGCAACTTCGTCGAAACCAATCGATTTTCAATAAGCATTAATGTACTTACTGTCATTGACTGGCGTTTGCTGGAAACGAAATTAAAATCTGAGAGAGTCTGGACAATTCAAAAAGAATCCAACGGACATTCGAATTTTTTACATTAAATATTTTCTAACCCCTAACACACGGACTATTCTGTTTTTACCAACGTTAACGTTGAAAATGATATTTTATGATATAAATGTATTTGATGTAATTTGATAATTTTTATTTATCAATTTAATGTAATTTATCATTTTTATTTATCAATTTAATGTAATTTATCATTTTTATTTATCAATTTAATGTAATTTATAATTTTTTTTTATCGAGCCAATCGGCAATGTGGAATTTGTATTTCGATTCGGGGATGCAATTACAGTGCTTGGATAGAACAATCATTTTGGATATTCCCATTGGTCTGATAGGGAAGGTGGGTATGTAGGCTTTCGTATTGATCACCACGTTGAGGCGACCTTTAATATCCCCTCCACCGCTTTTACCTCCGCCATTGAATAGAACGAGAGGGCATTAGATGAAGGGAGGGTCGAGGGGAGTCTTGACGCGACCTACAACAACCAGAGACAGGCGCACAGCTGATTTCGTAACAGCGAAGCGACACTCCTGGAGTTCCACCGTTCTCCGGAAACGCTTCGTGACCTATATAATTTCCAGGAATCCGAGGAACGACGCGAAATTGAACCGCACGGGTACCACCGGTTTCAAAAAGTTCGCCGAACGGCACGACGCTCTGTCCATCTGCCGGGGGAAAACCGACTACGTTGCATCGACGTTCGAGAACGGCTACTTCCGGCTTGCCGGATCCGATGCTCGGCGTAGATTACAAGTTGAGAACCTTATCGATTTCAGATTTGCCAACCGACCTTGTTACCTAACGTAAATACAATTTATCTGAAACTATACGGAATCGTAATGTTTGGCCTACCGATAGCATCGAGATTCTACATTAAAATGTGGCAACATGTTTCAATATTTTCCAAAGTAACGAATTAATTGTTATTGGCGTCAGTTTTAAGGCCTCTGGAAGTACAGCGAGATGACAGAATTAAATGACTAAATACGTCCAAAGTAGATTACGTCTTTTTTTCTGCACGTTTGTTGAGTCACGATCGACCAACACGACGTCATAATCCACTAAAGAGCCTGAGGTGTGAACGTGGCATCTGTTATTTATAGATCGTTTTATTTATACTTGTGCAGCGGAGATAGGAAAATTTTATTCACAAATAACGAATACAAATTTTAGGTTCACCGTTCATTTCGCTGTTTAACAAGTCCATTAATGAATTTTAACATATTAATTAATTTATACGTGAATCCGCCATTTTTATTCGTGATACGTGAATAAAATTTACCCAGTATTGTTGTACAGGGTCTCGTTAAAATATTTTAATAAACGGAAAGAAATTGATAGCGTAGATTTAAAAATGACATTTTTGATAGCTCTTAAAATATGAAAATTCTTTGAGCATAAATCACAGCGTTTTTCGGATCAATGAACCCCGCCATTGGCTTCTTTTTGCACGAACGGTAAAAGAACGATTCCAGCATACTTTGCGAACGCTGATTCACGAGATCGGGAGCAGACCTTGTCCTCCGTTGGAGGACGCTGTGCAATCATTTGGTTCAACGTAGCATAGTTTATGCGCAGTCTAACATAAACTGCCTTTTACTACTTATATCAAGATTTCGAGAACGATCATGAACAATTTTGACTAATCTATTACTTCCTCGCGAAAAGCTCATGTTTTATTCCGAACGTATAATCACGTACATTGATACAAAAAATTTTGTCTAAAAAGAGAATGGGAAAATTTATGCAACGTTTTTCTAAGAAAATTCGTTACGATCGAATGATTATCTTTTCCTTTCGCCAAGTTCTTCGTTTCGAGGCCATTGACTTCGCAGTTACGATCGTGTAACATCGATTATCGATTGCGTATACATCGTATTATAACATCGATACAAAATTGTAGGAAATATTTAGTCTTACCTTGCCATTGCAACCGAAGCACAAAGAAATAACAGCACGCGTAATGCTATAAACATAGAACGTGGACAATTATCCTTTGTTACGAAAAAGGTCGTAATTCATAGATGTTGTAAGATATTTCGTTGTTTCGTCGTACATAGAATCGAAACACTAAGAAAATTCATGAATTTTCATGTGCCAGACGTAAAATTCATTTTACGGAATGTTCTTTGGAAAATCGAGATAACCGAATTTGACCAGCTTCTTATTTTAACAGTTCGATTATCGATAACAATCTCAAGTAATTGTTATCTCAAAATTTACTTTTAAAATCTACTTTTTATCAATCATTATTCCCGAACGTACGATCTTCTTTAATCTAACCGTTAATTCATTTATTGACAGGCACTGCTACCACCTTAAATCGGCCTTTGAAACCTACCAATCGAGAGCAATTATTTTCACGAGGTTTAGGGTTTTTGTCACAAAAATGGATTCGATTTTAGTGCTTTTTTTCCCCAGGAAAAGTCGGGTTCCAGTTCGTGTCTATTTACATCATAATTTTCGTATATCTGGCCACATTGTCCTAAGAATGCAAGGAACGGTATAATTAGGACAAACAAATGCAAAAAAGTTGAGGTAGCAACCGTGGAGTCCTCGTAGAAACAACGGAACAGAGGAACGTGGCTGGACCGCGAACCGTCCCTGGGAGAGGATCGGGGGTTGAGGGGAGGGTATGCACAAAGGAGGGATGTGATTGGCTGAGGCAGAGAGGAGAGGTTCTCGGCTGTCGCGAAGCGAGTTGATTCCGCGCCACTTCGTTTCCGACTCGTGTCTACGTACGACGTGCCCGAGGACTAATCCAGAACGCATCCTTCTTTTGTCTGCTAAGGTAAGCAAGACCATTTTCCTTTCGTCGCGAAATGCTTAATTTGCGAATCGCGTCTGTCTCACGATCAATCCCGAAGAATTTTATATCGCTGAAACGGGAAATCGACAAATATCCGGTCGATCGTTCAACGATTCCTCGAGGCGATTCTTTACAGAAAAGTTTTATCGTTCAAATATCAGAAGCACGTATCAAAGAAGCATGGAATATACGCGAAAGGATAGCGTCGCCAGTGAACGGTTGAACGGTCGATTGTTACATTGTCGGCTACACGAATCGGCATGGTTACAGTGATTTGTTCTTACCCACACGGTTTCTCGAAAATTTATTAAAGCGAGAATAACTTCCGAACAGAATTCTGCGTATTTAAGCAGTGATTCATCGTAACGTCGATCATCGATTATTACCGTTGGCGGTTGGTACGTTGCGGCGTTTAGTCGCTATGCCGGTTTATAGGTTAGAGATCAACCAGGTGGATTCGACCGGCAAAGAAACCGATTCAACTCGTTCATTTAGCTTGAATTGTGAAACAATTTCGAGGACACGATCTGTACGGTGTCCACTTCCTTTAATTAAGCAGATTTCTCACACCTTCCGTGCATAGAAAATCCTGCATGCCAAAAGATTTCGTAGCTTCGGTTATACGATGATAAATCTGTGGCAATTCGTCTTAACTGCAGAGACGTTCGTTTTCTTTTCTACCGTGGTATTAACACGACAATTAGACTTTTAAAGATTTACATAAATTGGCAGAAATATACGCCTGTAATTTATACCAAAGAATGTACGCTTAAACGACTACGGAAATTGTAATTGTGACTCATGCGATTGTACGTTTTAATGGAATCGTTAACCTAAGTACGTTTTGCGTAGAATATCTCGTATAGTCCTTAATTGACTGCGTCAAATTCAGACTCTCTGAAAAACGCGAGATGGCTTCTCTTTTGTTTCAAGCTTAGGCGTCGCCGAATAGTCGTTTCACGAATTTACAAATAATTTATTAAATTAGATTTTGATTGGAAAAAATAAGCTTTTGCTTCTGTATTGATTTTCAAATGTTTAATGCAAAGTATATATAAAAAAAGGTGTTAAAATTGGACGATTGAAAATATATTGTTCAAAATGGTTGGAAAATATGTATCAGAATATTGTCAGATTTTTTCAGCACTGTTTATCCGCATTAATATCGACCACACTTGGAGGGTTTCGGTAATACCGTATTACATCATTGTGGTTCTTCTTTCAGCACGAAACGATCATTATTTTTCATGACTATTGATTTTAACATTGTACAAGGAGATCAGTCTAACGGTTTTTAAGCGTGACAAAACTGCTTTTTTGTAGTTTAGAAAATGAACAATGTATTGAATGTACATTTGTATTTTGTTAATTCGTTTATAAATGAAAGTACAGCTGTAAAAAGAACGTGTAATCTATAGAATTGTAACGTAGATACGGACACGTATATTATCCATTGAATCGATTCTTCGTTAGCATAATAGACCGTTAGACTGATCGGTGGACGAGTGTGAATCATTCGGTTCACAATTTCCGCCAAACGTGTACACGTTAGAAAAGAAACGGACTTGCTTCCGGTTAATCCTGATTGTTACGCAATTTTTTTTACGCCCCCCGCCGTCGATTTGCCTCGATCGAGGGGAACGATTCCAATGATTTCAATATGTATCGAATATGCAAATGGCGAAGGTGCGTTGCATCGGATTTCCGTTCTAAGGATCCTGTCAAAAGTAAATTGACAGATTACGGTCAGACTACGTACAGTAAAACGAGTGGGTGCAGCCTGATTACGTAAGGCCAGGGATGCCCAGTGGTTCTCAAATTGCCAAGCTCGCAGACAAATTTCCAACGAACTTCTTCCAAGATCGAATGTCCTGCATTTATTATGATGCGGTAATCCGATGAATTTTGCACGTCAAACCGTACCCCTGATATTTCTTCTCTATATCATTCGCTATACAATCCCCACCTTCGAGACGGTTCGTTAAAATTATCTTACGAAAGCTTCTTGGCAGTAAATGTTAATTTTCACCAACAGTTTGTTACAGTACTGATATATTTTTAATGACCCCGTAAATCAGTCACGAACGGTCTCGTGACTGTAATGCTATCAGAACGGAACATAACCTCAAATTTATTTAAAGTTCCTAGTCACAGTTAAATTTCCTTCAGATCGCTTAGCAACTATTATACCTCTCAACCCGTTGACTGCCACGTCAGTTTAGGGATATTCTTCACATTTTTACAAATTATAGCACGACAAATATCGTTCACGGTCCAAATAAAATTTTAACCATCGCTGTTCGGAACTGGTTTTAACGGTCGTTGGGATTCGGGGTGGGGATGGGGAATAAAAATTTGAAGGAGTCGTTCCGAAGCCGCGAACCGATGCATCGTCGATCGAAATGTATGCGAGAAAAGGAGGCGTCTTGTTAACAAAGAAGAGTGCATCGATGCGTTTCTTAGGAGGAACCTCGTTAAGCCAGAAGACCGGAGATTCGTTTGAGCGGCGCGTGCATGCGTTATGGCGTTTGGTAATTTAAAACGGAAATTGATAGTTGGCGGTCTCCCGATCGGGGCTCTGCGTGCAAGGAACGCGTCGTCGCGTCTGCCCAGCTCTGTGTTGCGCATGCACACAATCGCAGTCGGAATGCACGCCCGTCTGCCCGCCGCTGTCGATGTGTTTTCCTTTGATCGATTCTCCGTAGCACAATGCGTACCCCGGTATCTTTCACGCGATCGCGTCCAGCTCTTAATACCACGTACCACTGAAACGAATAACGTCTTTGGGAATTAATCGATTCGAATGAATTTTTCTCGTAAAATAAAATATTGGAATTTCGAGCTAGCTGGGGAAGATCAAATTACGTCTGAGGTAGCCATTACAAGAATATTATTTATATTGAGAGAACAATAGTAATATACGTTACGATTTTTCTGAATTTTGATTTTATACGAATTGATGGAATTAATTATTTTTTTCGTCTCGATTAATTGAAATGAGCCTCGCCAGACTCGTGGCGAAAGCTTCTCGTTAAGATGGCTACCGTATTCACGCTGCGCCGGCTTGGCACTTGATTCGAATTAAAAAAAATGTTCGACCCTTTACGGACTGGCATTTTTAAGTACGATCATTAAGAGAATTTATTCGAATCGTTAAATTTGAAAATCTGAATTAATTATTTCTTATATAATTGTTCACGTTTTTCTGGCAGATCTCTAACGTGTAAAGTTAATTCGAACGCCAAGAACAACGTCGAACAACGTGTTACTTGATTCTTTAAGGCCAGATGTGGTGTGTTTGTTCGATCAACGCTGACAGCGTGTATAGCAGTTCGCCGCGATTAAAGCTATCATCTCAAGGATCGCTGATATCGATTTGCGACATCTATCTCGCTCATACGTTACACCTGTGGTATTCCACTTTTCCACGAAACACTTTTTACATTCCGTGAACATTGTATGCCTCTCTTTCCGATTCTCCATTAACGCGGAAACCTTTTACAATTTCTATTCTAGGATAATGAAATGTTAACGATAAATTTAGAGCGATTCGATCGAGCGGCGTTTATCCGATAAAATTAACTGGATTTATTTTTGTTCATTCTTTATTTAGCGAAACGTGAATTAAAAAAAAATTATTTCAATTCGAAGTATAGCGATTGCAAACACAATCTCGGATTATTGATTAACCTTGGGTGTCTACAATATTTCAGCTATTTCGAGCACTCTGGCGGTATTAAACAAAATTTTCTGCAACGCTTTGAAGGCGCGTGCTATAACGATCTGGATGGGTTCTTGCATCGCTGGCTATAATGCATGCTAATAATTCATGTTGGCTGATTTTACCTACGTCACTTCAAACTCTCCTTGACGTTAAATATGCACGCGTGAAAATGGTTTCGAATACTCTGGAATCCACGTTGGCATTAAAGCTCGTTTCCCCGAAGTTCGCGAGAAAATGGTTGCGCGACAGAAAGTTTCTTGGAATGGTGACGACGTGTTTCGTACTGCAACTCAACTCTTTCTCGTTGAGACGCCAGCACTGGAATTAGTGGTTAAATTAACGTCAATCAGCGTCCAGAGCTGGGTAAAATTTACCCAGACAAACTATTCCACATACTATTTTAAATAATAAATTCTTTACTGATCAAATAATATAATTCAAATAAAAATCAAAATTTCTGGGAATGAAACATTTTTAGAATAATCATATAATGTTTTACGAAGCAAGGTATCGCGAGACGGAGCCAAAATTAATAAATAAATAGTATTTGTGCAACTTTGTTGAAACTTATCGATCGACTAAAGTTAAATTTCGCGCGAGTACCTGACGGTAAAGTAACTTGCGTAGTCTGTCAGCAGGGGGCGCCACAAATCGTCTCTACTTCCAACTATAATCGTATATCGGTAAAATAGATCCGTGCAGATTTACACGAGAAGAATTACAAACAGCATACGCGTTAACAAATAGGTATGATTTCATTTTGGTCTCTTATTCGTTAAATACGATCGCGTTTGTCACTCTCGGATGGTACAGCGACATTCCAACGACGTAGGTAATTTATCTTCATGAACGTTGAAACCGGACACCGACCAGTTACGAGACTTAACCGACAAAAATTTGCAAGGGCGGAACTCGAGCGCCATTTTCTCGAAACGTTTTATGCTTTTCGATCGAGATAATTTCGAGAGTTGATGGAGCAAGGAATCGATCGTGTTTACTGGATGATACATTATTGTCGAATGTTCTAAATTTGAAATTTATTTTGCGTTTTTAATTGTGGTAATTAGCGTCTTTCGAACACGCGAATAGTCGAAATCGGGGTTACTCGAGCTTTCGACAATTTCTATGCAACTAGGGCAATGGCCAAGCATTCGAAGATACGTGGGGGAAGTGTGCTGTCTCGTAACGGTGTAGGAAATGAACCAGTCGGCGGATAAGTCTCGCGATACGCCGGATGCAACCGTTTCAGGCTTGCTCC